ATATATATATATATATATATATATATATATATATATATATATATATGTAAGTACCATGGGATTATGTATGGAAGGAAGACCAGATGAGGAGGATTAAGGTAGATGGCATTGGATGGGAACTGGGATATGGATGATGAGGTTATTGAGACAGTGTAAGTGAAATAGCTGAAATATCTGCCCGACCCAAGGTCAATAAGGCAACTGTAAATCTAACAGGTATCTATGTCTTATTATTTGTGATAGCGGGTTAACCAATACTGCCGTGATAATCTTACAGCTAATAATAAACATTATGTAGCCCAACACTTAATTTTTTTTTTCACCACAGCACTCACGCACACACAGACACACGCACACAAACATTACTTATTAAAGTTTATCTGTGTATGTTTGTGTTTGTGGCACAGGGGTCAGAAGTCAGAGGCCAGCTTGTAGGAGCTGGTCCTCTTCCGCCAGGGGAGCCTCTGGGATGAAATCAGGTCCGAATGCTTGGTGACAAGCTCCTCTACCTCCCGAGCCATTTCACTGGCTTTCTGGTACCTGATTATTCACTCTCTTCTCCGCCGGACTGTCAGTCCAACAAGCAAGGAGACTAAAGGGTAACTACTAGCTTACTTCTTTTCTCCTTTTCTTCCTCCTCCTCCTTTCCTTTCGTTTTTGAGCCATGAGCTCATGTAGCCCAGGCTGGCCTAGAACTTGCTGTGCCACCAAGGATGATCTTGGACTCTTGACGCACCTTCTTCTGACACCCGAGGGCCAGGACATAGCCCACTTCTTAGCATAAAACTCAACAAAAAATATATTGAATAGCTTGTTTCATTTGTTTGTTTGTTTTTTGAGACAGGGTTTCTCTGTGTAGCCCTGGCTGTCCTGGAACTTGCTTTGTAGACAAGGCTGACCTCAAACTCACAAAGATCTGTCTGCATCTGCCTCCCAAGCGCTTGGATCAAAGGTGTGTGCCACCACTGCCGGCCTTGTTTGTTTGTTTGTTTATAGCAGGGTCTCATGTAGCCCTGGCTGGCCTCATACTTGCTATGCATTAGGGATTGGACTTGAATTCTCGACCTTCCTGCTTTTACTATCCAAGTGGTGGAGCTGCTAAATTAAGCAGTTATTAAACATTTGAGTGATGGTCCAGGCCTTCAATCCTAGCACTCGGGAGGCAGAGGCAGGAGGACCTCTGTGAGTTCAAAGCCGGCCTGCTCCACAGAGTGCATTATAGGACACCTAGGGCTACACAGAGAAACCCTGTCTCCAGAAACAAACAAACAACAAATGAGGATCATCACCAATGGTTTTGAGTATTTGATGAAATTTTTGGACCACTTACAAAGAAAAATCATCACACACTGGAGGCTCTTCCCTCCCTACTCACCCAAGGAACATTTGGCAACATTGCTCATTGCCACAAAGGTCATAGGTGGTGCTGCTGGCACCAGAAGGAAGAGAGGGTGAGGGCACCTCTAGACACACTGTGGTGGCCAGAGACATCCCCGAACAAAGAACCATCAGTCCAAGTATTAAGATGTCCAGCCTGATGGATGTGAGTGCATGCCTTTAATCCCATCACTCAGGAGGCAGAGGCAGGAGGATCTCTGAGTGTGAGGCCAGCCTGGTCCATATAGCAAGTTTTAGGCCAGCCAAGACTACTACATAGTGGGACCCTGTCTCAGAAACAAAAACAAGGGTTCCAAGCTTGAAAGACAAGACAAACATACACATGACAAATGGCATTGGTGTGGCATACTACGTACGTAGAGGTGACACATTACATAGACATGATATACAACATAGACATGACATATATGTGACATACAAGATGACATATAGCATAGATGTGACACATAACATGTAACATATAATACTGACAGGACATACATACATAGATATGACATCCACAGACATGGCATTAATCCATACACACAACTTCCTCAGCACAGTTGCCAGCAAGTTGGGATTCATAGATTTCTCTGAGGTTCCTTTCTGCCGCCTAGGTGTGGATCAGGATGGGAGGTCCTCTTAATCTGATTTCATTTTGAATCTTGTATTTTGACCCCATACCACCAAGTCTGTAATATAGCTGCCCTGGATCCCTCCTTCAGCTTATGAGCCCTCAAAGTTGGGGGCCTACAGCTTTATCATGGGAAGGTAGCAGGGGATCAGAGGAGACGGCTATAGGCATTAAGGCCTGGAAACCCACCTCTTTCAGTAACTTGTATTCTGGTCCGCTCGGTCCCATCTTGAGGCAGATGGAAAGCCTCAAGAGTCAGGATGCTCAAGGCTTGAACCCCGGCTCTCTATTTTAATTCACCGTGTGACCACCGCAAGTCCCTTGACTGCTCTGAGCTGACGTTTTCTATTCCAAAAAAAAGCCAGGGTTACTCAGCAAACCAACCTTGTAAGCTAGGCCTGGTGTGCACACCTGTAATACAGTGAGTGCTTGGGAGGCAGAGGCAGGATATGAGGTTGGTGCACAGCGTATCACAGTGTTCAACACAATAAATCACAAAAAAGTGAATTATCACTGTGGCTTGGAGGTGAAATGTGTTGCCCAAGGTGACCATAGTTGGGAAATGGATGGTGAGGTTGGGAAATGGTAGACCCGGGACTGCAATTCAGTGCTGAAGCCCATCAATTAGAAACATGTAAGAGAAGCCCGGGCACACACCTAGTCTCCCCTCTCCACCTCACAGGGCCGTTCATTAGGGAAGCCTGTGAAGATCGGGGTGACAGGAGGCTGTCAGAACAGCTTGCTGAAGGCAGATAAAGGCCCTGCTTTCCCACAATGGCAGGCCAGCGGGCTGCTGGCTAAACTGTGCAGGAGTTTTCCTAGATGGAGAAGGACTAGAAGAGGGGAAGGGTCCATGAAGAACTCATAGCTCAGGGAGAGGGAGGTGTGTGCTCCAGGCCCCACAGAGGCTCAGAGCCAAGAGTACAACAGTCTCCTAATTTCTAGCCCCAAACCTGGTGCCCTTATGAACACTGATGAAAAGCATTTTCCTCTCTCTCTCTCTCTTTTTCTCTTTTTCCTGAGACGGGGTTTCTCTGTGTATCACTAGCTGTCTTAGAACTCACTTTGTAGACCAGGCTGGCCTTGAATTCAGAGATCTGCCTGCCTCTGCCTCCCAAGTGCTGGGGCTGAAAGCATTTTCTGTGTCTTAAGAATCTTCACGTCAATATAGGGACAAAGGCTTAAGAGATGAAAGGTCCATTTTTATTCTTTAGCGCGAAGAGAAAGGATGCTCAGCAGAGGCCAGAGGGAAGGGTGAAGCTTCTGCTCATTCCCCCATGTCCCCTGGGCTCATCTTTCATTTCCCCAAGGAGTCAGCCTGCTGGAGCTAGGGGGTTGCCGAGTGGAATTCCCCAAATCCTGCCTGGAACAGCCTACTCCCAGATGGCAGGAGAGGAAGCTGAGTCAGGGACACGATCAGGGAGGGGGTGAGCTGACAGTGTTGGGAGGGGCTCCAGAGCTCAGCCAAGGAGGGGGGTCTTAGAAGCCCATGGAAGGGGGATCGCAGGCAGTCTTCCGGTCCTCTCATTCACTGCCTTCAGTCCTAGGGCTAGGTGAGTCCTCCATTCCCGATGCCCTCCTCCCCTTTCCCACAAATTCTGCAGTTTGCAAAATTCAACCGCTTCCCTGAGTACTGTGGTTTCCTGTGGGTCTGGGGTCCTGCCTGACTTGGCAATGGGAACTGTGGGCAGGGCAGAAAGGAGGGGTGGTGTAAGCCCTTTCTTTGGGCTGCCCAACACACACACACACACCCTGAGTCAGCAGCCACCTGGAGGAGGGGCGGGGTCACTGATTCAGTTTTCGTGCCTCTTTAAAATCTCTGCAAGGGCAGCTTCAGCCAGACACTGCCATCCTCACCATGAGCCCCTGGCAGCCCCTGATCCTAGTTCTCCTGGCTCTAGGCTGCAGCTCTGCTGCCCCTCACCAGCACCAGCCGACTTTTGTGGTCTTTCCCATGGACCTGAGAACCTCCGACCTCACCGACATACAGCTGGCACAGGTAGACAAATGTCTCAGTGGCCTCAAATATGCATTCTGGTGGATTTGGGGGCGATGGGTATGTCTGGAGAAATAGAGGTACCAGTGTTAGGCAGTGGTGTGGAGGCTGTGGGCAGCGGTGAACAGAATGGACAGATCCGAACTTGCTAGAGCAATTGGGCGGGGATGGGTTTGAAGGTTTGTAGCATAGGCACGGGTTGAAAATGGGGTAGGCATGGTTCAGATCACCTGAGGTGGGAAGGAGTTGTGTTATCTGCAGGATGGGGCAATTCTAGCTGGGCAGGAAGAAGTGGTATTCTGGGCTTAGAGTCCCTAAGCATGTGGCCCAAGGAAAGGTGGGCTGTCTCTGCCCCCCTCTCTCTCCATCCACAGGAATACCTGTACCGCTATGGTTACACCCGGGTAGCCGAGATACAGGGAGAGAAGCTGTCCCTGCGGCCCGCTCTGCTGTTGCTTCAGAAGCAGCTGTCCCTGCCCCAGACCGGTGAACTGGACAGCAGGACCCTGGAGGCGATCCGGGCACCACGCTGCGGCGTCCCAGACTTGGGCAAATTCCAAACCTTCGAGGGCGACCTCAAGTGGCACCACCATAATCTCACATACTGGTGAGATGCTGGGCCAGGTGCAGGTGGCTGGGTGAGGCTGGGGGTGAGTTTGCACCTCCCGGTTGGCTGAACACAAGGAACCTTAGTAAGACGGGTTCCGAAAACCGGAGCACCGAGTCGGTTCAAGACTGAGCTGGGGGGGAGGGGGTAGCCGCTGCCCCGCCCCCTCTCATTTGTGATCCCTGCACGCCCCGCCCCCGCCCCCTCGGGCTTTTCACCTACAGGATCCAAAACTACTCGGAAGACTTGCCGCGAGACGTGATCGACGACGCCTTCGCGCGCGCCTTCGCCGTGTGGAGCGCGGTGACACCACTCACGTTCACCCGCGTGGAGGGGCTGGAAGCAGACATCGTCATCCAGTTTGGTGTCACAGGTGAGACGTCCCGGGCTGGGCGGGCCACGGGAGGGACGACGACGACGGACAGAGTAGAGGGGACAGCGGAGCAGCCCTTACGCCTGCCCCGCCGTCCTTCGTCGCCGCCCCTCCCAAAGGACGCCCCTCGGGCGGGATGGGAGTCGCCGGCGCCTCCCCTTCCTCCTCGCAAGGCCTGGGGCGCTGCTCAGGGGGACGCGGTGGCCTCAAGAGAGCAAAGCGCGCTTGACCGGGCTCCCTTCTTCTCCCACGGCCTCTGCAGAGCACGGAGACGGGTATCCCTTCGACGGCAAGGACGGCCTTCTGGCGCACGCCTTTCCCCCCGGCCCCGGCATTCAGGGAGATGCCCACTTCGACGACGAGGAGCTGTGGTCGCTGGGCAAAGGCGTCGGTGAGCTCCCGAGACTCCTGTGTCCTTCACCCCCACCCCAGCCTCCTCCTCCCAGTCCCGCGGGGGCAGGGGGGGGAGGGCTGGCCGCCCTGACTCCGGTCTCCTTGCTGCCACAGTGGTTCCCACCTACTTTGGAAACGCAAACGGTGCCCCGTGTCACTTCCCCTTCACCTTCGAGGGGCGCTCCTACTTGGCCTGCACCACGGACGGCCGCAACGATGGCACGCCTTGGTGTAGCACGACCGCCGACTACGACACCGACCGCAAATTCGGCTTCTGCCCCAGCGAGAGTGAGTGTGCGCCGGGGGGCGTGGGGACGAGGGCGCCACCTCTCAGGGTCCAGAATCCCCCTTTGCCACCCCTCCTGGCCGTGAGCGGTGCGCCCGGGTTACTCCGCCTCTCTCCGCGGACCCCTGGGTGAAAGGAGAGGAGAGCTGGGTGCCCGGGGGTCGGGGCCGTCCTTGAATGCAACCCCGTGGGTCTCCCCAGGGCTCTACACGGAGCACGGCAACGGGGACGGCAAGCCCTGCGTGTTCCCGTTCGTCTTTGAGGGCCGCTCCTACTCCGCCTGCACCAGCGAAGGTCGCTCGGACGGCTACCGCTGGTGCGCCACCACGGCCAACTACGACCAGGATAAACTGTACGGCTTCTGCCCGACCCGAGGTATCTCTGCCCCCCAGCACTGGTGGCTTTTCCCACCCACTCATTGTCTCTCCACGTTTACCATCCTCCGTCTCTCTCTCCGCATCTCCTTCCCTTGACTCCCGATCCGGCAGCCTTTTTTGTTTGTTTAGCCTTAAGGCCTCTCTCTGCCTCGGTCTCCTATCCCAGGCTCTGCCCACTCGGTGTTTCCTGGCTTCGGCAGTGCTCCACGGCGCCCCTTAGGGGTCAAAAAATAAGCCGCGGAGGTTGTCTAGCTCGGCTCTCAGTTTGGCCTACCCCTGGCACCATGTTAGATCCACCCCCCTGGCTCACTTACGACCCTTGGTCTCTCCAGCCGATGCGACCGTGGTTGGGGGCAACTCGGCAGGCGAGCTGTGCGTCTTCCCTTTCGTCTTCCTGGGCAAGGAGTACTCCACCTGTACCAGCGAGGGCCGCAGCGACGGGCGCCTCTGGTGCGCCACCACCTCGAACTTCGACACTGACAAGAAGTGGGGTTTCTGCCCAGACCAAGGTGGGCGGGATTCTGAGACGGTTCTCCTGGAGTGGGGTCCGAGTCGTCTCCTGGTGGTCGTGGTGGCGGAGTAGCCAGGGCTGGGGTCTTGGCCTGCTGTGTACATCTCAGGCTCCTCCTTCCTTTTAGGGTACAGCCTGTTCCTGGTGGCAGCGCATGAGTTCGGCCATGCGCTGGGCCTAGATCACTCTAACGTGCCGGAAGCGCTCATGTACCCCATGTATCGCTACCTCGAGGGCTCCCCTCTGCATGAAGACGATGTGAGAGGCATCCAGCATCTGTATGGTGGTGAGGCTGGGGGACAGAGTTGGAGGGGCAGAGGAGAGGCTGTGGCTCAGATGGAGGACCAGAGAAGAGGGGAGGGAAGAAATGGAACCTAAGATCCATCTGGGACAGGGCCTGCGTGCCTAGTGACTGCTTGGAAATGGGGCAGCCTAGGTCCAGGTTCAATAGCCAGCCACGGGTCGGGTGTGCCGCCTAGTGGTTAGAGGACATGCTGAGGGCTGTGGAGCAGGCATGAGGCCCTGGGTTGGATCCTCAGCAGGAGGGGTCAGCCCAGCCACTTCATAGGTGAACCTGGGTTGGTTAGTTCCCTCCTACATAAAGTGGTGGGTGATGACAGTAAGCCTCTCACAAGGCTTTGCTAGAGCTAACTGAGGTAGAATGCTGCCTGGCCGTAGTAAGTGCCATCTGATGGTCTGTTGTTTTGGGTCATCATGTACCGTAAAAATGGGGACACTTGCTGGGTGTGGCGAGTAGTCCCTGAGTGCTGTAATCTCAGCACTCAGGAGGTTGAGACAGGAGGGTTAGCCATGAGTTTGAGGCTAGCCTGAGATACATAGTAAGCTCTGGGCCATCCTGGGCTACTTAAGGCTCTGACCCGAAGGTACTTCCAAAGATCAATTTATTTGTATTTGTATGGTTGTTCTGCCTGAGTATGTGTGTGTAACACGTCCAGGAATGTCAGGAGAGGCCAGAAGAGGGTGCTGGATCCTTTAGAACTGGAGTTACAGATTGTTGTTAGTTGCCGTGTGGGTGCTGGGAAAGGAACCCAGGTCCTTCAGAAGAGCAGCCAGTGGTCTTAACCATTGAGCCAGCTCTTCAGCCCCCAAAGGAGTTTGGAAGACCTAGCAGGTGTCTTTAATCCCAGCATTTAGGAAGCAGAGGCAGATCTCTGTGAAGGGTGTGGGGGAGTAGATATTGAAGAGCTAATCTGTAAGGTTATAATGCTCACAGCACTGTTTGACACTCAAAAGACTCCCTACCCTGAGTTGGGGAAGGGAGGGAGATTCTGTTCTGAGAGGCCAGACCCCATCTTCATGGGGCTCAGCTCTGGACACTTAGGTGTGGTGTCTGACAGGGGCCTGCTTGTAGCCTCCATCTTCAAGGGAAGACAGAAGCCGTCATTGCTGGGCTCGGTCACAGGCTGGGGCTATAGAGAAATGCTAACTCCCGGCGTCTTGTTTTAGGTCCTCGCCCTAAGCCTGACCCGAGGCCTCCAGCCACCACCACAGCTGAACCGAAGAAGCCAACAGCTCCTCCAACTGTGTGCCCAACTGCACCTCCCACGGCCTATCCCACAGTTGGCCCCACAGGTGCCCCCTCAGCTGGCCCTACAGGTCCCCCCACGGCTGGCCCTTCTGAGGCCACTACAGAGGCTTTGAGTCCAGCAGACAATCCTTGCAACGTGGACGTTTTTGATGCTATTGCTGAGATCCAAGACTCTCTGTATTTCTTCAAGGACGGGTGAGCAGAAGGGGTGTGTGGATGAGAGAGGGGGCTTGGAGAGGAGCCTGCCTTCGTCTTCCACCCACTCTCCTCCCTAGGCCAAGATTCGGGGCCCTGTTCTATTTTATTTTATTATTTGTCTTCTTCTCAGTCGGTACTGGAAGTTCCCGAATCGGAGAGGAAGCCTGCTACAGGGCCCCTTTCTCATTGCCCGTATGTGGCCAGCTCTGCCTGCAAAGCTGGATTCGGCCTTCGAGGACCCGCTGTCCAAGAAGATTTTCTTCTTCTCTGGTTAGTTTGTGCCTGTCTAGCTCATCTGTTCCTCAGTGCTCGTCCGCTTAGGATAGAGACCCAGCGTCACCCATGAAACAGGGCGCCCTGTTTCTCTCTCGGCAGATGTGATTTGACATTTATGGGGGGAGATTGAATTTCAGTGCCTCTTGAGTATCTCAGAGATACTCTAGATACACTAGGCCTCTCTGGCTTCCCCCTCCTGACATTCAGTGAGACCGCGCCCCACCTCTGTGTCCCCAGACCGATGTGACCCTTCTCTTCTCCAGGGCGCCAAGTGTGGGTATACACAGGCGCGTCAGTGCTAGGCCCCAGGCGTCTGGAAAAGTTGGGTCTAGGATCAGAGGTTACCCAGATCACCGGGCTTCTTCCTCGTCATGGCAGCAAGGCTCTGCTGTTGAGCAGGGAGCGTGTCTGGAGGTAAAAGCGACCGCGGCCACCGGTAGGGGGAGCCCTGGCGCCGCTCACCCGGAGCCCTGCAGTCGGGAGCGGGAGGGGCTCATCGCTTGTCTGCCTTCCTGCAGGTTCGACTTGAAGTCACAGAGGGTGGATCCTCAGAGCGTCACTAGGTTGGATAATTTGTTCGCTGGTGTGCCCTGGGACTCACACGATGTCTTCCAGTACCAAGGTGAGGGTTGCTGATGCTGGCTCGGGAGGGTACCTTCATGAGATTCTACTCCCCTAACACACACATAAACAGGCGTGCGCACACGCGCGCGCGCGCACACACACACACACACACACACTGCGCTCCCTCTCTTGGCCAGTTTCTCATCTGGAGAGAAAAAGCCCTTGGAGACTGAAGGGAATGCTCTAGATGAAAGCCCTGTAGAGTGCACCCCATATTCAAACAGCCAGATCTAAGTCCCAGATTGCTTGCATCTCTTTCTCTTTTGGGAACTCTAGAAGGCTCTTTATCTTTATTTTTATTTTTTATTACTAAACAGTAACCAAGGGCCTGTAGTGTCCTGGACTGCCACTGGGGATACACCGAGAGGCAAGACAGTTCTAGCTCTCTTTGGTCAAGTCACTGCCTCAATTGGTGCCTCAGTTCCCCCATCTGTAAAATACAGATATTATCTAAAGTTGTATTTGTTTACTCTTTTCTGTTTTGGTTTTTCGAGACAGGGTTCTTTATGCAATAACTCTAGCTGCCCTGGACTGACATTGTGGACCAGGCTGGCCTCAAACTCAGAGATCCACCTGCTTCTGCCTCCTAAGCGCTGGGATTAAAGGCGTGCACTACCATACCTGGCTTTGTCTACTCTTTTCAGCATTCAACCTCTATCAGTTGACAGTCTTGGGCTGATCCTAAGGATCATATCTCCCAAATCTATCATTTTCAACCATCAACTTTATAGCCCTCCCACCAACCATACTTGGTTATCCAGTAACCTTTAACATATTCTTCAAGAGTGGGGAGGGGTTAGGAGTGGAGAGCCATGGTTCTGACGGTGACCCCAAACGGATGCAAAGGTGGAACTCACATGGCCTGACCGCTCTCCTGTCTGCACTTCCAAGTCCTCATCTCCTCCCCATATTCCGGACGTTTTCTCTGCTCCACCTATGCTTGCTGCTCTTTGAACAGATGAAGGTCATTCCTAGCTTAAGGCCTTTGGGCTGGTTGTTTCCCCGTTAAGAAGGCTTCTCACCTACACTATTGCCAGGCTGCCTCTCTCTCATCCTTCAGGTTTCAGCACCAAGGGTTCCACCTCAAAGAGTCTCTGCCCTTCCCTTATTATTTATTCACGTCTTTTCATATCTCACTATATCTTGAGATCTTGTCTGTATTATTCTACTGTATTCCTCAGGCCTCTCACAGTACTTGGTACATAGCCCGATGCTCAGTAAATATTTGTTGGATGAATGGATAAATGAATGAATGAGTTTGTCCAATGAATGTTGTTAGGTAAATTGGCCTGGGCGTTAAAATACTACCCGTTCACTAATCTGCTGATTCAATCATAACTTATATGTGGAACACCCACTATATACCAATGTTTTGGGTATCAAGGGTCTTGCCCTCCAGCATTTCACAGGCAAGTAGAAGAGATGTAAAAACTACAGAAAGATACAGAAAAGCCAGGAGGGGTGTGTCTTAGGGTTCTATTGCTGTGAAGAGACGCCATGATCATGGCAGCTCTTAGAAAGGAAAGCATTTAATTGGGGCTGGCTTACAGTTCAGAGGTTTAGTCCGTTGTCTTCATAGTGGGAAACATGGCAGCTTGCAGGCAGATGAAGTGATGGAGAGGTAGCTGAGAGTGAGCAGCAGGAAGAGAGAACCACTGGGCCTGGCCTGAGCATCTGAAACCTCAAAGCCCACCCCCCAGTGACACGCTTCCTCTAACAGGGCCACACCTCCTCATAGTGCCACTCCCTGTGGCGCTGTGGGGGCCATTCTTATTCAAACCACCACAGGATGGTTGTAGAAATCTCGTTCCTGTATCTGTGGTGAGGGAGTGGAGGATTCAGCTCTCCTGTGCCCCCGTGTCTCCCACAGACAAAGCCTATTTCTGCAAGGACGAGTTCTACTGGCGTGCCAGTCTCCAAGATGAGGTGAACCACGTGGACCACGTGGGCTACGTGACCTACGACATCCTGCAGTGCCCTGTGAACTAGGGCTCCTCTTTTGCCTCAGCAGTGCATTGTGGGTCTCTAGAGACCACCCCAGAAGGAAAGGAGCTGGTTTGCCGGATACAAACCGGCGATCTCTTCTAGAGACTGGGAAGGCGTGGCGGTGGGCTGGGCCCTGTCTCCACACCTTCCTTTTTTGTTGGACTGTTTCTAATAAACGTTGATTTCCTAACCTTTACCGGCAACTTTAATTAATCGGCTTATCTGCATTGTGTATATGTGTGTGCCCGTGTGTGCGGAGGTCAGAAGACGGCTTTGTAGAGTCGGTTCTGTCCTTTCGCTTATTTTTTTTGTGTGTTTGTCTTGTTTTTCAAGACAGGGTTTCTCTGTGTAGCCCCGGCTGTCCTGCAGACCAGGGTGGCCTTGAACTCACAGAGGTCCATCCGCCTCTGCCGCCTCAGTGCTGGGATTAAAGGCATGTGCCCCCACAGCCTGCTCTGTCCTTGTAGTTTTGCGTGGAATCTGGGGATTGAACTCAGCTTCTCCTGCTTTTGTGGCAAGCACTTCATCTTGCTGAGCCTCCTCACTGACTCCAGCCGTTTTTATTTATTATGTATGTGGTCATGCTCACATGTGTGTATTTAACTGAGAGAGTGCTCGCCGTGGGCCAGGCATTGCTCCAAGCTCTGCATAAATATTAAGGTATTCAGTTACCCCTACTGGAAGGTATTATGTAACCATGTCTCCCTACCTCTGAGGACACCACTGAGCTATTCACTCACCAAGCATTTATTGAGAGGATCCCTAGCGTTCTGTACTGGCCACTAGGGACAGGGGAATATTGGTTCTTCCTTCATGGCTCTCTCAGGGGCTCTCAGTGTTCTGGAAACCTGCCCAAGCCAGACCCCAGACTCCGCTCTTGCACTCACAGGGGAAACCCTGCGGTTGCTGGCGGCAGCATCGTGCTTGGAGAGTGCAAAACATTTGTGCTAGAGACGTGGTGGTGGTGGGGTGTCCGTGTGTGGCGGTTTAGGTCAGACAATGTCTTCTAGCCAGGATGACCCCTTAGCTGGAACTGACCCAGGAGGGGAGCAGTCTCTTAAATAAACAAGTATTTATTTGTGTATGTGTGTGTGTGTGTGTTGATGGCTCAGGGCCCTGGATCCCCTGGAACTGGAGTTGCAGGCAGCAGTGTTACCACGCCGGTGTTGGGAGCCAAACTCTGATCCTCTGGAGGAGCAGCAAGCACACTTAACTCTGAGCCCTGTCGTCTGCCAGCCATCCTGCCAAACCATCAACCTGAAAACGGACCCACCTTTCACCCTCACACGCGTGCGCATGAAACGGCACGTACAAGGATGGTGGTCATAGCGCTCAGGTACTGAGAAACTAGCATTGTGGACTGGTGGACTCTGTGTCCACCAGAAGAGCCCAAGGGTCAGCACGGGGGCTCACTGCCAGCAAGAGACTAGAAAGAGGAGGGGAGGATGGTCAGACAATTGTGTTCTGGCTGATGAGGCCAAGCAGGGAGTTTAAGGAGGAGTTTAGAGAACACCTCTCCCCCCCCCCCCCCCAAGCCTCCGCTCTGGGGTTGCTCCTCTCCCAGCTGGTCTATTCCTAGCTCAGGAATGAGCCGCTCCCATCTGCACACAAGCACTCCCTAACACGCCTTGTTTAAAACCTCTCTCTCTGCCCTGTCTTCCCTGGGATACTATGCCGCTTCTCTGCTCCCGGCCCACACACAGTAAGACTCACCCACAGGTGGGTCCTCCTCATACCTCTCTGCCGTTCCCACGCTCTCAACTATTCACCTCTGGCTCCTGCCTCACAGGGCCACGGACTCGCCTGTGACCTTCCACAGTCGCAGCAGAGACCACCGCCCACTCTCCGTCCACGCCCACTCGTGTGACGGGACAGTCCTTGCTTTCTAGTCTCAGGAACCGCTTCCCCTCTCGGCTCTTCTCTTCCTGCCTCTGTAGCCTCTCATGGTAGCTCACCCTAAGGCTCAATGCCCAGAGTCCTGACAGGCTTTGAATAGCATCTCCATGCAAAAGACTCCAGAGTGACATTCCCAAACTGAATCTCGCCCCTGAGCCCTACACTCAGGTTCGTCTGCCTTCTCTTTGTGACCTCATAGGATCCAACTCTCTCTTCCTCCAGGTGTCACCACCTTGTAGGATTGTGGATGTGCACATTCCCACACAGAGGACAACTTTCAGGGGTTTGTTCTTTCATTCCGCTGTGGCTATGCAGCAAGCACTTTCACCCACTATACGGCCTCCCTGCCCTCCCCCACTATTCAGATAGTCTGTAAGGCCTGTTACTCCTTTGTATCCTTTGAATCCTGTTGTTCAACGATGTCTTTGTGGGATTTGTGTATATTTTGTAAACAAAATAGTTTATTCTTGAACTGTGTCCAATTCCACCCTGTGAGTGCCTGACAGCGATCTATTTTGCTAGTGGTCGACATCTGCATATAACCTGATCTGGGATCATTATGAATGAATGCTGCAATGACCAGTTTTTGGAAAAGCCTTGGTGGGGGAGTGGCTGGAAAGATGGCTCAGAGGTTAAAGTACTTGCTGGTCTTGCAGAGGAGCCAGCACCAACATCTGGTGGCTCATAACTGCTTGTAACTCCAGCTCCAGGGGATCCAACACCCTCTTCTGGCCCCCATGGGCACTGCGAGCACACAAGTGCGTGCACACATGCACAAATACATAAAAATAAAGACAAGTTTTTGGGAGCAAATGGGCCGCCATTTTCTTCTACCAGAGTAAAACAAGGCTAAAACGCATGTATTTGCCTGACCTTCAGAGAGGTGACCAAACAGCATTCCAGAGAGGTTCTGACTGTCCCCCACGGTGTTGCTCACTGATGCTAAAGTTACATCCTGCTGACTCTGCTTCCAAAATGTACCTGATGTACCTCGAGACTGGCCACCAGTATCCGTTCCTGACTCCTGTGTGTGCGTGTGTAACTTGCACAAACGTGCTGGTGCAGGCAGCGGGCACAGGTCAACCCTGGGTATCATCTCCAGGGGCTCTCCATCTTGGTTTAAAAACATGTCTTGTTCATTTATTTACCAGTTATGTGCGTGTACACGGGCACCCACATGCTAACAGCGCTTGTGTGGAGGTCAGAGGACCCCTGGCAGGGGTTCTCTACTCCGTCCATGTGGGTCAGGGATCAAACTCGTGTCATCAGGCTTGTTGGCAAGTGCCTTTACGCAGTGAACTAGCCATCTTGCCAGCCTCAGCCACATCTTCTTTTTTGAGACAGGGTCTCTCTCTCTTTCTCTCTGAGTCCTGGGCCCTGGTTGGGCTGGCTGCAGCTGAGCCCCAGGATCCTCATGTGTCTGCCTCACCAGCCACGTGATTGTGATTATGGGCACATACAGAGCCAGTGATATAATATAAATTAGATCACACTATCCCTTTGCACCAAAACTTCCAGTGGCTTCCCTTTCAGATTAGAAAAGAAATCAGAGCTGGGTGTGGACAGGAAGAAAAAAGAAGGAGGACGCCATGATGGGTTAGCCTGGAGAAGAAACCTTGTAGGTAGGGCTGGGAGGAAGGATTCCAGTAATGGTGTGAAAAGGTCCAGATGAAGTAAAAAGCAAGTATTTAAAATATTATGGGTGGAAGATATGATGGTTAAGGAGGATGGCATTGGATGGGGGTTGGGAGATGTATGGTGAGGTGATTTAGACAGTGTAGGTAGGAATATTTGTAAATAAGGCAATTATAAAAGCTAACAGGTACCTATGTCTTGTTATTTGTGATAGCAGGCTAGATAATACTGCCACAATAATCATAGGGATACTAATAAATAATATAGCCAAACACCTCCATTTTATTTTTGATGAATGCATGTAATCCTAGCATTCCAGAGGCAAAGGCAGGTGGATCTCTGTGAACTTGAAGCCAGCCTGGTCCAGGACAGCCAAGGCCACACAGAGAAACCCTGTCTCAAAAAAACCAAACCAAACCAAAACAAACCAAAAAACAGATTCCTCCTTAAATTTTTTGTCTTAGGTTTCTTTTGCTGTGATAGAAACTCTATGACTAGAAATAACTTGAAGAAGAAAGCTTTCTGGTTTGTTTGTTTGTTGTTTTTAATGTCAGTTTACATGTCCCAATCACAACCCATCACTGAGGAAGCCAGAGCAGAAACTCCAGGCAGGAACCTGGAGGCAGGAGCCAGGAGGAACACTGCTTACTGGCCTGCTCTCCACGGCTTGCTCAGCTTGCTTTCATATAGCACCCAGGACCACCAGCGCAGGGGTGGCCCCACCCACAGTGCGCTGGGCCCTCCCACATCAATCATCAGTCAAGAAAATGTCCCACAGGCTTGTATACAGACCAATCTAGTGGCAACATTTTTGCAAATGAGTTTCCCTCTTCCAAATGATTCTAGGTTGTGTCAAGTCAATATAAAACTAGCAAGCACAGCCTTCAAAGAGCTGTTTGCTCTGTCTTTCTCATCTCTGGTCACTCGTTCACTCTGATGCAGAAATAGTGGTCATCTTGCTGTTTCATGAACATTCCAAGTTCCTTCTCGCCCCAGGGCCTTCGTACTTGCTATTCAAGAATGCTTAAGATTAAACGCAGGCCCCGTGCGTGCTAGGCAAACATTCTCCCACTGAGCTACTTGCTGCTGCTTCTTCCCGGAAATCTTTGCATTGTTAGTTCTTACCAGTAAGGTCTCAGCGCAGATCTCACGCTTTTGGGGAGCCCTTCTCTGGTCACCCTTTAGTTCTCAACAGTAGCCTTAATTTTCCTTAAGCTATGGGTGGCACAGTCTCAGATGATGTCTACCTATTTGCACACATACTTTCTCCGATGTCCTCCATAGAACAAAAGCCTCAGGAAGGCAAGTCAGTTGATGGGCACTGATCCCGGGCAGAGGTCTCCGTTGCCTAAAAGAGAATCACCAACAACTTGTGCTGAGTGAACGAACCCCAGGTGGTCAGGAGACCCCATCAGAGGTGGGAAGCCCTCCGTGAGAAATGACTCATATCTGAGTGGGTTCCCGAGGTGCTTCCGGTGAAACTGAGAGAGCCCCTTGGGGAGAAGTGGCCAGATTGGGGAAGTTGGGCACAGCGGGCACTAGGACCCGGCGCGGCGCGCGGCGGGCGGGGAAGCTCTTGGCGCTC